TTGCGGCGTGACCATCCCCCCTGGGGGGTGATTTCTCGCTTTCTGTCTCTATGTCTCTCTCTGTCTGTCTGGCGAGCGCACGCGCCCTACAGTGAAAATCTCTCCAAAAAAAAAAACCTAAGACATCACTTTACGCACCCTGGGAGTGACGCACGGCAAATTATTAGTGAGACTCAGAAGCAGTGCAACTAACGGAGTCAGGTAAGATCAGAGCGGGCAGCCTGGGGGAGGTGGCCTCTAAGTGAATACTTAAAAGGGTTGAGGGGCCAGCAGGAGACGTGGTAGTCAAGGCACTGAATTCCTTCATGGCTGACCTTGGTTTGAGTCTCGGGTCCAGTGGCTTGAAAATTATACCGGGTGCATGTGTGTGCGTGCCCGAAATCCCAAGAGGAGAATGGAGGAGAAGGGACTATGGCATGGTCAGCCCCCTGGGAAGGTGATTTCTCACTTTCCCTCTCTCTCTGAGCACACGTGCCCTTTGGGTAAAAACCTAATAAAAGAGAGAGGAAAGGTCGAGGGTAACCAGGTGTGGGGGGAGCATGGGCAGGTTCCAGGCAGAACTGCTGATAGGAGCCAAGGTACAGAAGACAGGAGCAGCATGCTGTGTGTGGGCACCGGAAACAGCTCTGGTTACTGGGCCCTGTGGTGCATTAGCATTTACATTTCAGGACTGTGGGCAGGGGGTCTAGCTGAAGAGCACACAGCTACAAGCAGGGAGGTCGTTTTTGGAAGCTGCTGCAACAGTCCAAGTAACAGGCGGTGTTGGCCTGAATGAGGGAAATGGTAGGAAAGACAGACAGAAGGGTAAGAAGTTGAAAATACCCAGAAGGTAAAATCAGCAGGCCGTGCTAAGAGCCAGGGCATGGAGGAGAATCAAGAGACCAGACCGAATACAGAAAAAATGAGGAGAGTGTGTCCCCAGGCCAGCTAAGGAGATTGAGAAGATTGGAAGAGTGGCAACAATGGCTTTATAAAAAGCCTAGAAGGGTCGCGGTTAACGATGTCAAGTGCTAAGAGAGGTCACTTGAGATCCGGACTGGAAAATTTTCAATAATTTAGAAACAAAATGTTCATTGGTGACCTCGGCAAGGGTAGCTTTAGTGGGGCAAGACAAAATTGCATAGGATGAGGTTTGAATAGGAAGAGCAGAAATAAATTTAAAGCAGAATGATTCTCCCTCTCAGATACTGTAGACAGAACACCTAGGTTCTTAAAAGCGTGTCAGGTGTCCAGAATGACGTTCGAAGTCTCGAAAAGAATTATTGGCGTCAACATGCAAAAAGAAAACTGCAAAATTAAATTAAGACATGTTTAATTAAATAGCTCCAAAATGTAACATTGTTCCAACTTCATTAATTTTTAAATGTAATATTCATAAAAACTTCATTCCATTTAGAAATGCTTTTTTGGGTTCGATGTTCTCATTTTGCACACGTTCTTTTGTATGCACGAGGGCTGCAGAGGAGGCACAGCCAATGGTAAAGGAACTGTTTCCTGCCACTCAGGAATATCAGAAGCAACATTTTAAAAATGCACGTAACATAAAATGTGGGTGCATTTTCTCCTGCGTGCTTTTATGTGAGATGGGGCCTCTAAATGTAAGCGTTTTCAGGGCTTTTAGAATGTCTTAAAATAGTTCCGATATAGACAACTCTTTCCAAAAAGCTTGGCCAGGGAAGGAAGGAGAGAGGTGTTGATTATACAGAGTTGGAGGGGGAAGGAGGGTGTTTTTTTTTTTTCCTTTAAGGAGGAGGAAACACAAGTGTGTGTCTGTCTGGAGGAAGGAGCCGGTGGGTAGGGAAGATTGGAAGAGGGCTGGGGCGGTGGCTGAGGGGACAGGACGTGGCTGGAGTGAAGGAGGAGAGTGAGACCCACAGGGGAGGAAGAGCACCCCCTTCTCCAGAAACAGGCAGGAGGTGAGGCCTTTAACGGGGGTCCCAGTCCTTTCTTCTGCCTCAGGCAGAAGGATCCCCAAGTGATGAAGGAGTCCTGTCGTACCCCAACAGTTTGGAACTCCTTTTATATGAGCAGGTAGCTACTTTTTTTTAAAAGAATGTATTTATTTATTTATTATTAATGTCCTTTGTTTTATTTATCATTATAGTTATTTTCAGTTTGATCAGAGCAAGACAGAGAGAGAGAGAAAGTGAGAAAGCAAGCTGCCAGGTCTGGGGCTCAAACCATGGCCGGCTATGTGGGAGTCCAGTGCCCCTAACCACCACACCACCTGCCGGCCCTGATTATTTTTTAAATCTTGCTATAGAGCATGTACGCTTATCAGAAGGGGACATTGACAGAGAGGGAAAGTGAAGAGGCAATCTGCCAGGTCTGGGAATGTGGGAATCTAGCGCCTTAACCCCCGCAGTGCCAGCCAGCCCCACAGGTGGCTGCCTTTAATACCATGGCAGTGGCTTCTCCACTGGGGATCTCCATCCAACCTGTCTTCACCGGGGCTGGCTGGAGATAGTCACCGTGATGCTCAGACACACCCTAACACGCCATTTTCACCAAGACTAAACCTGTGGGCTGGGTCCTCTGCCTACAAACCCTGGTCAGATCCTTGCTGCATCCCCTTGTAAGTGTCCCTTTTGTCGCCTCGTTCACGTGGATTCTGATCTCTCACAGTTGTCTGCCCGGGACAACTGCAGTGGTGAAACAGTAACCCACCACTCTGTGATGCTGAGGCCGCAGAGAAGGTCCTGGGTTCCCATCCCGAGGTCTCCTAGGAAAGCTAGACCCGCACACATAGCATGCCTGAGAAGGGGAAGGGGGACTAGCGGGGGGCTGGGGGTTGATCGCGGTGTGAAGACCTTGCTTCGGGGTATCTCTCTCTTTCTCTCTCCTTCTCTCACGGAAGAAATAAATAAAAATGACCATTAAAAATAAATAAATATAATACAAGCCTTCTGCCTAAATGACCTTAGGTTAGAGGGGTAGATGTTCAGATGATCCCCAGCACCTTCTCCAGGAAGGTAGAATTCAGTATTTTAATTACCCTCCCTGTTTGATTATTCCAAATAGAGGCTCCCGCATTCACACAGGTTCCCCCAAGTGGACACGTGGGTCTGCAGAACGGAGA